GTACTTTTGGAGACTAGATACCCAAATTCACCATTGCCACTTTACCACCCCGCTGAGTCCTGAGATTCTAGTATGCAATAAGAGATACCTTGTACTGATGCAAAATTTAATAAAGTTTGTCAAAGAGAAAAAACAAAGAAGGTCATTATATAACAATAAAGGGGACATTTCATTAAGAGGACTTAATTGTAAACATATACACACCCAATGCTGGAACACATAAATATATAAAGCAATCATTACATGACCTGAGAGATAAACTGCAATAGGATAAGAGTAGGGGAACTCAGTACCCCACTTTCAATGATAAGCAGATCATCTAGACAGAAAATCAGTAAGAAAACATTGGATTTGAATTACACTTTAAATCAAATGGACCTCATTGTCATAATCAAAACATCACATCCTACAGCAAGAAAATACACATTCTTCCCAAGCACACATGGGACATTCTGCAGGATAGGCCACAAAACAAATCTTAACAAATTTAAGAGGATTTTAATCATATCAAGTATCTTTTCTGATCAGAATGGCATAAAACTAGAAATCAATAACAAGAAATCTTGGATAATTCAAAAAAATGTGGAAATTAAACAACATGCTCCTACACAAACAATAGGTCAGAGAGAAGAAAAAGGAAATTAAACTATATTTTGAGACAAACAAAAATGGAAACGCAACATATCAAAACTAATGGGATGCTAACAAAAGCAGTTTAAGTGGAAAATACATAACAATAAGTGGCTATTATAAAAAAAATCTCAAATAAACAATCTCATAAAACTCAAAAAACTAGAAAAAGAACCAACTAAGGCCAAAGTTAGCAGAAGAAACAAAATAATAAATATTAGAGCCAAAACAAATGAAATAGAAACTAGAAATAGAAAACAATGAATAAAACTAAAAGTTGGCTTTTTGTAAAGCTAAACAAAATTGACAAACCCCTAGCTAGACTAACTAGGAAAAGAAAGAAAGAAAACTCAAATAAATAAAATCCTATGAACTCTTCATCCCATCATGTAATGGGAAGATAATGATTATGGCCATACTTGTGTCTCATGATAATTTTAGCTTATACAAAGAGTCTCAACATAAATGACCAAAAATAAAGAAATGCTTAAATTATCATACACCAATAGGATACACTACAGCCATTATAATGAATGATTTAAAAGAATATTTATTAACAGAGAATGCTCAAAATATAAAGAAACAAATAGCAGAATATACCATAAGAAGAATATAGAGAGAATTTAAAATATACAACTAGAAAAAAGATGAATGTTATTAACAATGAATAGGTCTGGACAATGATTTTATCTTCCACACTTTTCTGTATGTTTCAAATGTCTTTCAACAAATTTACAGGTGTTGTGCTATTTAGAAAGCAATAACAAATACTTTTTAAAGTCTTAAAGTTAAAAACTTCTGCTTGGCCAGGCGCGGTGGCTCAAGCCTATAATCCCAGCACTGTGGGAGGCCGAGGTGGGTGGATCACGAGGTCAACAGATCGAGACCATCCTGGTCAACATGGTGAAACCCCGTCTCTACTAAAAATACAAAAAATTAGCTGGGCATGGTGGCGCGTGCCTGTAATCCCAGCTACTCAGGAGGCTGAGGCAGGAGAATTGCCTGAACCCAGGAGGCGGAGGTGGCAGTGAGCCGAGATCGCACCATTGCACTCCAGTCTGGGTAACAAGAGCGAAACTCCGTCTCAAAAAAAAAAAACTTCTGCTTGTTTAAAACAAAACAAAAATGAAATGAAAGAGGAGATGTTACAATTAACACCAAAGAAATACAAAGGGTAGTTAGAAATTATATGCCAGTAGATTGGATAACCTGGAAGTGAACAGATTCCTAGACACATACATCCTACCAAGAAGATCATAAAGAAACCTCATGAGACCTCTCATGAGCAAGGAGATTAACTCAGTAATAAAAAGCCTCCTAACAAAAAAAGTCCCAAGGCCAGATGGCTTCACTGCTGAATTTACCAAACATTTAAAGAAGAACTAATACCAGTGCTTCTCAAATTCTCCCAAAAAATTGAAGCGGGAGAAAGACTTGAACTCATTGTACAAGGCCAGAATTACCTTGATACCAAAGCCAGACAAGAATACTACAAGAAAAAAAAAATTACAGGCCATTATCACTGATAAATATGGATGTGAAAATCCTCCACAAAATACTAGCAAACCAAATTCAAAAGCAATTAAAAGAATCATTCACATGATCAAGTGGGATTTATCCCTGGGATGCAAGGAGGGTTCAACAAATGCAAAGTAGTCAGTGGGATACACCATAATGTATATCATTAATGATAAAAAGAAGGATAAAAACCTTATGATAATCTCAATACATGCAGAGAAAGCATTTGACAAAATTCAACACCATTTCATGATAAAAATTCTCAGCACATTAGGTTTAGAGGTAATGCACTTCAACATAATAAAGGTCATATAAGACAAATCTGTAACTGACATCATACCCAACAGTGAAAAGTGGAAAGCTTTTCCACAGGATGCCTACTCTCATCACATTTTTTAAAACATCTTAATGTCCTGGCAAGAGTCAGGCAAGAAAAACAAATAAAAAGCATCCTAATGGGAAATGAAGTGAAATTATCTCTCTTTGCTGATGACATGATCTTATATATAGAAAACCATAAACACTTCACCAAAAAATGTCAGAACTGATGAAAAAAATTCAGTAAAGTTACAAGATAGAAAATCAACATACAAATATCAGGAACATTTCTATACATTTAAAAACAAACTATCCAAATAGGAAATTAAGAAAATCCCATTAACAATTGTCTCTAATAAAAAAAATACTTGAGTAAATTTAACCAAGGAGGTGAAAGAACTACATACTAACAACTATAGAACACTGATGAAAGAACATAAAGAAAATGCAAATCGATTAAAAGATGTTCCATGTTCATGGATTAAAAGAATTAATAATTACCAGTCATCCCAAAAACTTACCAAAAGGTAAAGAGTATCTCCATAATGAAGAATCTATATCAACTAATGGGCAAAATAGCCAGGGAGCATTAAATGACAATATTAAATTCACAAATATCAATATTAATCCTAAATTTAAATGGATTAAATGCCCCAATCAAAGACACAGACAGGCAAATTGAATAAAAAGTCAAAACCCATCGTTACGCTGTATCCAGATCCATCTCATAAGCAAGGATACACAAAGACTCAAAACAAAGGATTGGAAGAAGACTCACCAATCAAATGGAGAGGGAAAAAAAAAAAACAGGAGTTGTAACTTTCGTCTCTGACAAAATAGACTTTAATAGTAACAAAGACTAAAAGAAACAAAGAAAGACATTACATAATAGTAAAAGGATCAATGCAACAACAAGAGTCAATGATTATAAATATATATGCACCCAATACAGGAGCACCCAGACACATAAGACAAGTTCTTAATGACTTCTAAAAAGACTTGGACTCCCACACAATAATAGCGGGAGACTTTGACACCACATTGTTAATATTCGACAGATTAACAAGATAGAAAATTAACAGGGACATCTATGATTAGAACTCAGACCTGGAACCAGTAAACTCAGTGAATATTTATAGAATTCTTCACACCAGGTCCACAGAACATACATTTTTCTCAGTATCACATTACACGGATTTTGAAAGTGACCACATAATTGGAAGTAACTTACTCTTCAGCATTTGCATAGCATTTCACAGACTTAAATAAAATATTGGTTGGTTGTTTGTTTGTTACTTTCTTCCCTTATTCCTTCCGGTCTCCGCTGTTAAGCATAATTATCGGCATAAAAGAGGTTTTTAATACCTACTTTTAGATTGCATTCCAGCCTGGGCAATAGAGCCAGACTCCTGTTCTCTCTCCCCCTTTCTTTCTCTTTCTTTCAAAAAAATAAAAGAATTAATAATTAAAATGTTCACACTACCCAAAGTTATCTATAGATTTAACGTAATTCCTATCAAAATTTCAATGTCATTTTCACAGAAATGGAAAAAAAATCCTTAAATCTATACGGAACCACAATAGACCCTGAATAGCCAAAGCAATCTTGAGCAAAAAGAACAAAGCTGGAGGTATCACACTTGCTGATTTCAAAGTATTACACAACTGTAATTGCAACAACATGGTACTGGCATAAAAACAGTACCATGGTACTGGCATAAAAACACCAAAAGAACAGGACAGAAAACCCAGAAATAAACTCATGCATTTATGGTCAATTGATTTTTGACAAAGATGCCAAGAACACACAATGGGGAAAGGTGTCAGGAAAACTGAATAATAAAATTTGGTCCTTATCTCACTCCATGTATAAAAATCAACTCAAAATGGATTAAAGAGACAAATATAAGACCCAAAACTGTAAAACTACTAGAATAAAACATATTTATGTTTTATTGGTGACACTGGTCTGAGCAATTTTTTTTAATAAGACCTTGAATGTACAGGCAAAAAAAGACAAATGGGATTATATCAAGCCAAAAACTTCTGCACAACAAAGAAAACAATGAACAATGAGACAATCTATGAAGTGGAAGAAAATATTTTCAAACAGCACATCTGATAAGGGATAAATATCCAAAATACATAAGGAACTCAAACAACTCAATCGCCAGAAAAAAAAAAATCAAAAATAGGCAAAATACCTGAACCAACATTTTCCAAAACAAAACATAAAAATGGCCAACAGGTTCATGAAAAAATAGTTGGCATCACTAATCATTAAGAAAATGTAAATTAAAACCAAAATGAGATGGTACCTCATACCTGTTAGAACAGCTATTATCAGAAGATGAAAAAGGCCAGGCGTGGTGGCTCATGCCTGTAATCCCAGCACTTTGGGAGGCTGAGGTAGGTGGATCATTTGAGGTCAGGAGTTCAAGACCAGTGTGGCCAACATGGTGAGATCCTGTCTCTACTAAAAATCCAAAGTTATCCAGACGTGATGGCACATGCCTATAATCCCAGCTACTTACAATGCTGAAGTAGGAGAATCAGTTGAACCTGAGAGGTGGAGGTTGCAATGAGCCAAAGTCATGCCATTGCACACTGCAGACTGGGTGACAGCGAGAGACTTCATCTCAAAAACAAAAACAAAAAAAGATGAAAGATAAGTTTTGGCAAGGGTGTGGAAAAAAGGAACCCTGGAACTGATGGCAGAAATGTAATTAGTACAGTCATGATGGAAAACTGTTGGAGGTTCCTCAAACCAACTAAAAGTAGAACTATCATACAATCTAGTAATCCCACTGCTGGGTACATGTCCAAAGGAATTGAAGTCAATATGTCAGAGATATCTGCATTTATCTGTACTTCCATATTCACTGAAGCATTACTCACAATAGCCAAGATATGGAATCAACCTAAGTGTCCAGGAATGGATGAATGGATAAAGAAAATGTGGTATATACACAATATGGAATAATATTTAGCCTTACAAAAATAGAGAACCAGCTCAGCCATAGAGACCCCCATCCAGGTGGCGCTGAAGGAACTGAGCAGACACCCAGATAGAACAGTGAAGCTGGACTATCTGGGGGCCAACAGCCTACCCAGCTGAGAGCCTCAGCAGTTGACAGCATTCGGTCTGAGTGCCTCAAGCAAACTCTGACCCACTCATTTATTCTCTCTGAACAGGTGATGGTTATTAACAAACAGATGTTTGGCATTTTCTCATAACACAAAAATATATCAGGTAGGCAGCTGGTGCCTGCTTACCACTGTTCACAGACAATTAAAAAGTATTCTTCATGAGGGAGCCACAGGGGCAGGGCCAGACATCCCGCACTTAAAGAATTGTTTTAGTTCAACCATTGTGGAAGACAGTGTGGCGATTCCTCAAGGCCTTAGAAATAGAAATTCCATTTGACCCAGCAATCCCATTACTGGGTATATATCCAAAAGACTATAAATCGTTCTACTATAAGGACACATGTACACGAATGTTCATTGCAGCACTGTTTACAATAGCAAAGACCTGGAATCAACCCAAATGCCCATTGATAATAGACTGGATTGGAAAAATGTGGCACATATACACCATGGAATATTATGCAGCAATCAGAAATGATGAGTTTGTGTCGTTTGTAGGGACATGGATGAATCTGGAAAACCTCATCCTCAGCAAACTGACACAAGAACAGAAAATGAAACACCACATATTCTCACTCATAGGTGGGTGATGAAAAATGAGAACACATGGACACAGAAAGGGGAGTACTAAACACTGGGGTCTATTGGGGGGAAAAGGGGAGGGCCAGTGGGAGGGGGAGGTGGGGAGGGATAGCCTGGGGAGAAATGCCAAATGTGGGTGAAGGGGAGAAGAAAAGCAAAGCACACTGCCATGTGTGTACCTACGCAACTGTCTTGCATGCTCTGCTCATGTACCCCAAAACCTATAATCCAATAAAAAATTTAAAAAAAAAAAAAAAAAAAAAAAAAAGAATTGTTTTAACCAGTGTATGATATTTAAACATTGTCCTGCTACTTTAGAGTACCCCAAGTAGTTTTCTACTTGAAGGGAGGGGCAGCTAGGTTTTCCTTGACATCTTTTTTTCTTAGCAAACACTATATTCTATAATACACTCAGCATTTCTTAACAGTTAGGAAGAATAAACTTTGAGATGAATTGCACAGCAGGGAACCTACAGTCATTAATCACATATTGCATGTTTCAAAATAACCATGAGAATAAATTTCAGGTGTCTTACCATAAAAAAAAAAGTGAGGTAATAGATATGTAAATCACCTTAGCACAAAAAAATGGTGAGGTGATAGCTATGTAAATTAGCTTGATTTACTTATCTCACATTGTATACATACACCAAATCATCACACTCTACCCACAATGTACACAATTCTGATGCCAATTTTTAAAATATTAATGTAAAAAATCACAGCTTGTGAAATTTCACATAAGAAACAAAAAATCCAAATCTTTATATAGCATGTGTGATTTAAAAATTCTTAAGCAACCTTACCTACTTTCATTGGCAATGTCAAGAATGTGAACCCTGTTTTCAGTATTTTATTCTAAAACTGATTATACATTTAAAATATTTATTAAACAGGCACTTGGCTTAAGACAGCACTTAAGACATCATGGAAAATGTAGCCATGAGTTGCAAGATAGAATCTCTGTCTTTAAAAACATTACACAGTTTTGAGGAAGAGAAGGTGTGTATGTGATCCTACAGAAAACCAAAGTGCTCGGACATTCACAGAAGAAAGAAAACTTTTAACAGAGGGCAGCAGGGAAGGGTACACTCAGAGATGATTAGGCTGGAATCACTACCATTGAAGATGTACCTGAATATTTCTGGGAAGAAGTCAGCCTGAACAATAGCAGAGGCTAGGCAATCACTGGAAATCCTTAGACCTGATTAACAACACATTGAATAACATTTAGGTAACTAATTAGAGATTGATTAGGAAAAGAACTTCAGGTAAGGCCATGGAGACATTGAACAGCAAATTAAAGAATTCTGACTTTGATCAATAAGCAGTGGAGAGCCATAGAAAGTTTCTGAGCTGGGAAGTGTGGTTAACAAAGCTGTGCTTTAAGGAAATTAGTTTAGTGGCTGTCAACAATGGCGGAAGGAGAAGAGAGACTTAAGGCAGGGAGGTCTGAAAGAAGGGTCATGACCTAGGTCCCGCTGAAGTTGCAGGAAGAGAAAGAAAGGAATGGGCAGGAGACACCCCGTAGGAATAGAACAAACAACACATGAACACTGGAAGTGGGAAGCAGGAAAGGGATGATTCAATGATGACTCAAATTTGGAGCCTGTGTAATTCAGGAAATGCAAGTCAAGACGGAAGTCTGACTCAGTTCAGAGTTACTGGATTATAGATTTAATAAGAACTAGATTACTAGATAGAAATTTAATAGCCAATCTATTTTAGGGTAATCTTTGTAAGAGGTAAAAGTTGAATCTATTTAAACAGATTCACCAATTGTGACACAGATTTCTAACATAAATAACTGAATGTTTGTTTGTGTCAAAAACTAGTTGTCGTTGTATCCTGTACCATTGTACCATTGCAAGATGCAACACTAGATCACGATGAAATACCTGAACATAGGAGTAGGCTGGGAGAGGAAGTCTGCACATGGAAACTAATATAACCACAATGAGTTATGGTGTTTGACACATTAAATTCATTCCTTAGAACAAATTTTCACCACTAACGTTTGAAAATACTAAAGTATGAAGTTGAAATACTAAGCAAATCTGTTCAAATTATTTCTATCCATTCAAACTAATTTCTCTTTTCCTGTGAAACCAACATTATTTTCTGGATGACAGAATTAATTACCATCAAGAATAACATATTTTATAAGAGTACTAACCTCAACCTTGATTTCATACGAACATTGGTAAATATATTTTAAGTCTGCATGCTCTTATTGACGCTATCTGTGACTTACAAATATGCCTTCTTATCCTACTCTAATTTAAACCATGATACCTTTATATTGAGGTGCTTTCAAGAATTATTTACCAAAACACTTGTTCGCCAAGCCTCACCTGTTTCTGTTTTCTCTGAAGGACTGAGTTTCAGATGTTGGTCTTCTAATGAAAGGCTCACACTGATACCATACAGTGGGTCATCCAAGAAAGAAGGCCTTTTCAGTCTCCCAATGCCAAGAGTCTTCAACATAAAATAGTCTTTTGTGTCATTAACAATGTCATCCTCAGAAAACTGGAGGCATTTCATATTCTCTGCTTCAATGATGACAGCTTCTGACATGTGATGTCCAGTCAAGGCTTTAGTGAGATAGTAGCCTTTAGAACCTTCACATTCTGCACTCTCAAGCAAATTTGCATCTTCTCCCTCAGTTTTCTGGACCTTTGTTTCTGATTCATTTAGTAATGTAGAGATGATGGATCTGGAAAGCGGGGGAAACACAGGTGTTACGTCTTCAGTGTCTTCATTTTCTCTTTCTGAAGAAAGTTTAACGATGAATTTTTGTTTAACTATGCATTCATCCAGAAGACACTTTAACTGTTCTTCAGAGAGACGTGATGTGGACTCTAACTGATGACACAAAACGAAAAGTTTACATAATCAGTTGACTGAGTAAACACACTTATTTTTGGTAAGCATCCAGTAATACAATATAAATGCAAGTAGCTCCTTACACAACACATACAAATAGAAAAATAATTCATTGTAAAGTATCCAAAATGGTAAGGGAAATGTCATAATCCTGCTGAAATCTTCGGCTGGTGTTTCTCTGACCCCACCCATCCCTCAGCATGAACTCCACCACCACCCAATTCCTTAACTGAAAAAAAAAAAACAGGCATACAAGGCAAACTACCCCTACCCTTGGGGATTCAGCATTCCCATGTCTGTCCACAACTCTCAGTGGACAATACTGCTGAAGACAGAAGAGGAAGGGTGAAGGGTGGTGCATCCTGAGATGTGTCCCTGCTTCAAAGCTACAGGTCTAGGCAGAGGCCAGGGGCATTCCAGAGGCCGTGGTGCATTTGGGGAGAATGATTTGATCATACATATTTAATCTCTGCTTGTAAAGGTTACCAGGGCTGAGTGTTTCAACCAAGACCTTAAATATTTAAAAGCATTTTTTTCTTCCAGCAATATTCTCAGGAAATAAATAAAAATAAATCAAATAAAAGTAGAGAGCCACATTCTACAAGACTTCAACAGAACAGTGCAACATTTGAGTTATAACAATCGTGAAAAGGAATAATATTAAAATACAGTGAAACACACTGAAAAAAAATGTATACTTCCCAAAAAAATCGGTGTCTTCCATAGTTTACATGTGGATTACCTAGGAAAAGACTAATCCTCCTTTATAGGGAGGTGAATTATCTGAGAACAAGAAGTTCTAATAAGAAAACTTAATCATGAATTTCAATGACTTTAATTTCTACTTCAGCAAAGTAAAATAACACTATTGGCCTACTCTGAAAGTACACAGTAAAAAATAGCTAAATACTCTATATATGTAAAGTGCTGAAATAAAAAGTTATTATTGGTACTAGTTTAGTTAATTCTCCAGTGTTTTGTAAAGCTCCTAACGCAACTAATAAATACTAGTGTGTAAAACTATTTTTGTGTCATGTTTTAAATTTTTTAAATTATATTTAGCTTATCTATATTAAAACTAGTTTATACAGTAGCAAGTGTCACTAGAAGTATAAGAAATTGTCTGGGAATATACTCTTAGTAATTATTTGGAATTCAAAATTCAGGTGACTGACCCTAAGGTTAACATACATGTCAAGAAAAAGGATTTGAATTATATATTAGCAAATTCTACTTTTAGTCACTAGGCATTTCAAGCATCCAGATATAGTACTTCATCCATAATCAGTAACATTCTCTTCATGCTACTATGCAAACGTAGTCAAGCAGAAAATGAAGGAAGTCCTGCTATGACATTAGATACCAAAAACACACACTCAAAATTTGCTTATGTAAAATTGCTTATAATGTATAGAGAATTCCCTAAGATTTAGAAAGAGCCCATTGAGTGTCATCCTCACCAAACATCCTGATCAAAGCCTTATTATTATGAAATCAACAGACACTAGAAAAAAAAATCAGTCTATACTGGAGGAGGAGGAGGTCTCTAGGGAAAAGGGCAGGAGGGAGGATTGGTAGCTTATTCAATATGCTTGACGATTTCTAAAAGTAATATTGATATGATAGATGTTTGGCATTCTGATGATACATTTTGCTAAATACACAGAAAATGAAGCAAAAGAAATATCAAAGCAATTAAGAACTCTGGGGAAAACAAAAAGTTATACAAAAAGAGGAAACAGATCCAAGATGGCCGAATACGGACAGCTCTGGAATGCAGTTCCCAGCAAGAACGCAGAGGGTGAGTGATCACCGCATTTCCAAACCAGTTTTTATTGCCCACAGATCTCCTGGAGACCAGGAGATTTCCTGGCGGAAAAGCACCATGGTCTCCAGCACTGGCACAGTGGGTCACCACACAAAAACTCACACAAATCTGGGCAGACGTTTCAACTGGCACCTGGAACACCTGGGAGACAGAGTCATTCATTCAACTGAAAAATAAAAGGGGCTGAAACAGACAGCCAGATGATCTGGCTCAGCGGGTCCCACTGCGACAAAGACCAGCAATCTGAAATGCTCTGGATTGAGAGTTTCACAGCAAGCACACCCAGGATGGTCCAGCTTTGTCAGGGGAAGGGCAGCCATTACCGAGGCAGTCCACCACTACCGAGGCAGTCCACCATTACTGAGGCAGTCCACCATTACCAAGGCATTCCACCATTCCTGAGGCATTCCACCATTACCGAGGCAGTCTGCCATTACCGAGGCAGTCCACCATTACTGAGGCAGACCACCATTACAGAGGCAGTTCTAACTATACCTCTATAAACAAAAATGCAAGAAAGTTCACACAGCAGCTAGGCAAAGCCCACAGTAACTCAGCAACACCTTTGCTGACAGACTGTGACTAAGCTACCTCCTTGCTGAGCAGGCCATCTCTGAAAAAAGGCAACAGCACATCAGGAACTTATAAATAAATCCCCATCTTCCCAGACAGAGCACCTGGGGAAAAAATGCAGCTATGCATTCCGCTGCAGCAGACTTAAATGTACCTGCCCAGCAGCTCTGAACAGAATAATGGAGCTCACAGCTCAGCACTTGAGCTCCTATAGGGGACAGACTGTCTCCTCAAGCAGCTGTCTGACTCCCATATACCAGAGAGACACCTCATAAAAGAGACCTCAGGCTGACATCTGGCAGGTATCCTTCTGGGACAAAGATAACAGAAGAAGAAACTGGCAGCAGCCATTACTGTTCTGCAGCCGCCACAGTTGATCCCCAGGCAAGCAGGGTCTGGAGGAGACCTCCAGCAGTCCTATAGCAGAGGGGCCCAACTATTAGAAGAAAAACTAAAACACAGAAAGAAATGACTTCATCATCATTAAAAAGGACATCCACTCAGAGACCCCATCCAAAAGTCAACTACAAAAACCACAGGTAGACAAATCCACAAAGATGGGAAGAAACCAGCCCAAAAAAGATGACTTAACACTTCACTGTCAATATTAGACAGATCAACAAGATGGAAAATTAACAAGGATATCCAGGATGTGAACTCAGATCTGGACCAAGCAAACCTCATAGACATCTATGGACTCTCCACCCCAAATCCACAGAATATACATTCTACTCAGCACCACGTGGCACTCACTCTAAAACTGACCACATAATTGGAAATAAATCACTCCTCAGCAAATGCAAAAGAATGGAAATCAAAACAAACACTCTCTCAAACTACAGTGCAATCAAATTAGAACTCAGGATTAAGAAACTAACTCAGAACCGCACAACTTCATGGAAATGAAACAACTGGTTCTTGAATGTTGACTAGATAAATGATGAAATGAAGGCAGAAATAAACATGTTATTTGAAACCAATGAGAATGAAGACACAACATACCAGAATCTCTCGGACACATTTAAAGCAGTGTCTAGAGGAAAATGTATACCAATCCATGCCCACATGAGAAGCAAGGAAAAATCTAAATCTACACCCTAGCATCAAAATTGAAAGAGCTAGAGGGGCAAGATCAGAAAACCTCAAAACCTAGCAGAAGACAAGAAATAACTAAAACCACAGCAGAACTGAAGGAGATAGAGACACAAAAAACCTTTCAAAAAATCAATAAACCCAGGAGCTGGTTTTATGAAAAGATCAACAAAATAGACCACTAGCCAGATTAATAAAAAAGAAAAGAGAGAAGAATCAAATAGATGCAATAAAAAACAATAAAGGAGTTATCACCACAGATTCCACAGAAATACAAACTACCATGAGAGACTACTACAAACAACTCTATGCACATAAAACAGTACACCTGCAAGAAATGGATAAATTCCTGGGCACTTGCACCCTCCCATGCCTAAACCAGGAAGAAGTCAAAACCCTGAATAGACCAATAACAAGGTGTGAAGTTGAGGCAGCAAATCATAGCCTACCTACCAAAAAAAGCCCAGGTCCAGATGGGTTCACAGCTGAATCCTACCAGACATAAAAAGAGGAGCTGGTACCACTCCTTCTGAAACTATTCCAGAAAATCCAAAAAGAGGGAATCCTTCCCAAATCATTTTATGAGACCAACAACATCCTGATACCAAAACCTGGCAGAGACTCAACAAGAAAAGAAAACTTCAGGCCAATATCCATGATGAACATAGATGCAAAAGTATTCAATAAAATACTGGCAAACTGATTGCAATAGCACATCAAAAAGCTTATCCATCATGATCAAGTAGGATTCATCCCGGGGATAAGGCTAGTTCAAAATATGCAAGTCTGTAAACGTAATCCACCACCTAAACAGAACCAAAGACAAAAACCACATGATTACCTCAATAGATGCAGAGAAGGCCTTTAACAAAATTCAACAGCCCTTTATGCTAAAAACCCTCAATAAACTCGGTATTGATGGAATGTATCTCAAAATAATAAAAGCTAATTTATGACAAACCCATGGCCAATATCATACTGAATGGGCAAAAATGGGAAGCAGTCCCTTTCAAATCTGGTGCTATACAAGGATGCCCTCTCTCACCACTCCTATTCAAAACAGTATTGGAAGTTCTAGCCAGAGCAATCAGGCAAGAAACAGAAATAAAGGGTATTCAATTAGGAAAGGAGGAAGTCAAATTGTCTCTATTTGCAGATGACATGACAGTATATTTAGAAGATCCCATCATCTCAGCCCAAAATCTCCTGAAACTGATAAGCAACTTCAGCAAAATCTCGGGATACAAAATCAATGTGCAGAAATCACAAGCATTCCTATACACCAATAACAGACTTAAAGACAGCCAAATCAAGAATGAACTGCCATTCACAATTGCTACAAAGAGAATAAAATACCTAGGAAATCAACTAACAAAGGATGTAAAGGACCTCTTCAAGGAGAACTACAAACCACAGCTCAAGGAAATAAGAGAGGACACAAACAGATGGAAAAACATTCCATGCTCATGGTTAGGAAGAATCAATA